TTAAACCCTGAATCCACCCTAAACCCTAAACCCCTAAACCCTAAACCCCTAAACCCCTAAACCCTAAACCCCTAAACCCCTAAACCCCTAAACCCGTAAACCCTTAGCCTTAACCCCTGAATCCAAAAACACCGCCCCGCCTTCCTGTTTTTGGCCGGATCTCTGTCCAACCATCCCAGGTCGCCAGCCCTCAGTCAGAGTCAAACTCTAACAAAGAGAGGAACCCAAATAATAGGGGTCCCTTTAAAGGGGGTTCTAGGGGGATATATAGGGATATATGGGGATTATATAAGGGTCCAAGGACCCTAATAGTAGGGTTTTAGGGCCCAAATACTAGAATAGTAATGGTATTTGGGCCCTGAAAGCCTATTATTTGGGTCCTTGGACCTTTCGTGAAGGGGCTAAAGGAATCCTACGGGTTCTGTACGGTTTAGGGGTTAGGGGCCTCAAACTGTTGGAAATGCCGTGAGTCAGTTGCAAAACAACCTGGAAAAAAACGGTGAACATGACATGGAACACACGTTGGCATTTGGAGGTTCACATTTTGCTCTGGCGGGTTAGGAGGGTCGATTTAATATAGAGGCATGGTTAATTTGAACCAGAAGAGGCCCTGGGGGGGCATGTCATACAAAAAGGGTGATGAGAGAATAGTCTTGGTGAACGTTCAGGCTTCTGCATGTTGGGCCACAGGGCTGAGGTCTCGGGGTTTAAGCTGTCGGACTGTAGGATATAGGCCTCAGGATTCAGGGGTTGAGAACTAAGGGTTGCTGATGTGGGCTTGGGGACCGGGGTTCAGGATTCACAGGGTTTTGGGCTAAGGCATAAGGCAAAACAACACAGCGACAAGTGGTAATCTGCGAACCTAGACATGCAGCTGTTTCCAGGAGCTCCAAAAACATTGTTAAAAAGTCGTGGCGGAATTTGTCATTTGATTTTCAAACGGGTTAGCGAAGACGTCTACAGGAGTTCTGGCAGCCTTTCCTTCGTTCACCCAGATTTCTGGTGCCTTAAGAGCATGTCGTAGGGCTTAGAGTTTATGATTTAGATTTTTGCTTTCAAAGCAAAAAATGCAAGCCTCCCTGTCCCATTCTATGACTCAGCCTGTGTTCTAAATGAATGCATGGAAGTCAGAGGCATGGAGCTTGGGACCGTTGTGTATATACGAGCCATAGTCTAAACTCCTAGTATCCCCGTTAATGACCCTATAGTAGTCCCCCATATAATCCCCTATATAAGCCCCTTTAAGGAGCTCAGACTATAGCTCATATGGGTATATTTTGGGGGCGATGTATATATCGTCACGCGCTTGCTGGCCCTCCTCCCCCCACCCTGCATGGTCTACCTCCTCCCCTCTCCCCTGTGGGTGGGTTTAGGGTTTAGGGTTTCGGGCTTAGGGTGGGTGGCTGGTGCTTGTGGTCGGGGGTGGCCCTCCCCCTGTGGGTGTGGTTGGGGTTGGGTGGGATGAAGAGACATGACTTGAGGTCTTCCCCTCCCTCCTGTAGGTGTGGGTGAGGAGGGGGGTCTCACAAATCCAGCAATAGCGAAGGCCATTTCTGAGTTCATGTGGTACGCGGATCAAAGAAGACATTTACTTGGATTAAACAGTATTATCTGAAGATGCGTAGCTAAAGAGATGGATTATCATTCCTATGCAGTGTTTCTGAGGTTTCTAGAGGGGTCTGAAGAAGGACGCATGGCTTTTCATGGTGTGTACATGTGTATATATATATATGTATAGAAGTTTCCCCAAATAGCTGGACCCCAGTGTAGACCCAAAAAATACGATTACCCCTGTTAAGCGGACCCCCAAAATGGTACTCCTGGTTCGGGGAAACCCCATATGCATAGCCTTAGACTGGGTTGCTGTTAAGGAATTTAATTTAAGTTGTCATAAGGGGTGTGTGTATATAGCATATAGTAATTAATATGGCTTCCCCCATATACTAACTTAAACGAAGTCTCTTATAACACTATATTCCCCAGTTTCCATGTCATTTTCCATGTTCTTTATCATTTGGTTCTCCATTATCGAGGGGTGATATAACTTAAATTAAGTTCCTTAACCCTCAACCCCATATTACACCCCCCCCCCCCAATATAGTAACCCAGCTTCTGGCGTTGAAAATGGTTGCTGCTGGGCTTGCAGAAGTCTGGGGATCAGGGGTTTAGGGCTTGCAGAAGTCCACAGGCAATTGCTCTTGCTAGGGTGTTGGGTTTTGGGGCTTAGAGTTTTGGGAGTTTAGATTTTAGGGTTTAGCGGCTTAGGGTTTAGGGCTTTTGGGGCTTGGGGTACAGCCAAAGTGCACAACTGCGGCTTACACTCCTTCCTTGGCCGAATTTCCTTAAGACTTACTTGTAGTCATGAACTCTTTTTATTGTCCTTACAACCAAACGCAAGCCCCTTAAGTCCCCTTAGTTCGTGCTGCGCTTGACGTATAGCATAGTTGAGTAATACTTCATCCGCAACTAAGCCCCTTGACTGGATCCGTGCTGCAAAACCTCTGAACGATGGTGTTGGCTCTTTATTTGAGGCCCATATGGGAGTTTCCCAAAATTAGGGGTAGCTTTTTGGGGGTCCCACTAATAAGGACTATAGGATGTTAGGGTCTATATTGGGGTCCCCTTATTTCGGGAAACTACCATATCAACTGAAACAAATGAAGCTCCTGCATGACCTTAGTACACATAAACACACAAATTCCTCAAGTGTTATGTGCCCAGGGTCGCATCAAACCCTAAACCCTAATCCCTAAGCCCTAAACCCTATAAGGCCATAAGAACCCAGTTTCCATTTTCAAGTTCTTTTTCATGTCCATTTGATTCTGTCAGTTTGGGGATAATATCCCACTCTATATAGCCCGTATATCTCCAAGTACATCTCCTATATAGACCCTACATGCCCTTTACAAGAACCCCTATAACTCCTCGAACCTGAAGACTACTTGATGATAGAAAGCAGAGGCTCAGGTCTCCGCTCTTCATAGCAGTGTCGCACTCAGAGACTTCTTTACACTTTGAAGTGAAAGCACCAGGCCCGCCGTTGGCAATCTCCTTGCTCATAGGTTTTAGGGTCTAGGGTCGAGGGTTTACGTAGCTGAGGCTTCTCCTACTACCCGCTATACCATCCCCCTTAGACTCACGGTTATTCCGGGCTAGGGCAACTCAAGCTAGTCAAGGGGGAACCTACCGGAGATAGCGTCGGCGGTAATACTTTTTTTTACCCCTAATTCCCAATCCCTTAACCCGAAAGCCCAATCCCTAAGCCCTGACTCCTAATCACTCAAACCCTATGAACCAGAACTCCTCCTTCCACTCGCACTTACCATCCCCAAACTAACATGGAAGCGGCAAGAGCCCACGAAGAGCCCACTTCCAGGCTGCATGTAGTTTTGGGGCGGCTAAAAACCTAAACCCTATCTATCTATCTATCTATGTATATATATGTATAGATATAGATAGATATATATATATATATATATGTATATCTCTCTCTCTCTCCCTCCCCATAGATCCCTATATATGTCTTCACATCCCAACTATCTGTATGTCTCCGCCTATATATTCCTATAGATCCCCTAAGCCCTAAACCCTGAACCCCAAACCCTGAGCCCTATACATATTCCCCTATTGCCCACTAACCCCAACAGGAAGCCAGGAAGGGTAGCAACCTGAACCTATGCTGGGTTGCTGTTAAGGAACTTAAATCAAGTTACCATGATAGGGTATACATAGTAAATAATGGCATTCCCCAATATAGTAACTTTATTAAAGCTCCTCCCTAAACCCTAAACCCTAAACCCTTAACAGCAACCCAGTATGAGCAAGTGTCTGGGAGGATGCGCAGCATCTGTGTCTCAGCATCCCCCAGGCTCCGCGTTGGCTTCTTTCTTCTATCTCCTGGCTTATCAACTCAGGGTTTTAGGGGGGTTCGCAACGAGGGCATATTATCCCCCTATAATGGAGAATCAAATGGAAAAGAACATGGAAAATGAAATGGAAACTGGGGAAATATAGGGATTTGAGGAACTTAAATTAAGTTACTATATTCATAAGGTTTGGGGGTCTAGGATGAAGAGTTCAGGGCTTAGGGCTTGTAGGGTCTAGATTTCTGGGATTGGGGTTCAGATGGTTGGGGGCTCAGGGTTCTGCGATTCCCCATATAACCCCCACGCGGTTTCCAAATTATCTCGAAAAGCGCAAATCAAATAGCAACGATGATACCAGCACCCTAAATCCTACAGATCCTCCTCTGCAAGCGCAAATATGGGCCCTAGAAGCCCTATAACTAGTCCTGGAATCCTTATCCCTAAGCCTTAAACCCTAAAAGCCTAAATATTATGAATTAAGCACTAGGCTCATGGATTCCCCTTTTACTCTCCTCTATACTAACCTCCAGGTTCCCCGCAATGAAGGAGAATTAAAAGGCTAATTAAGGCTAACTCAGGGGGAACTAGGGGGAGTAGCATGAGCAGGGGGGATAGTGAGGGAACCCATGATATGCCCTTTGAGAAATCCCTCTAACCCTAAACCCCAAAGCCTAAACCCCAAATCCTAAACCCCAAATCCTAAACCCCAAATCCTAAACCTTGAACACTAAACCCAGCTCCTAGCAAGGCCTGACATCCCACATAGCGCAAAAGCAGGTGCCGGCATCGGACCTGGGCCGCTAAGAGTATAGGGTTTAGGGCTTACCCTAAGCGTCCAAGTACCCAATAATTAGGTGCTTGGGATTTTGGTAATAGTAGTTGTGGTACAGGTTTAGGGTAAGTATCTGATTATTGAGTAGTTGGACCCTTAGGGTTATAGGACTTAGGGTTTATAGAGTGTAGGGTTTAGGGCTTAGGGTTAGGGTTAAAGCCCGCAACCTTCAAACTCTAAAGTCTAGAGCCTAAATTCGGAGTGAAAGGGGATAGGGTATAGGTGTTGAGGTGTTGTGAGCGAGCGGGGCTCCAGTACTGATGAAAACCTAGGTCACTAGGACTACGGTTCAGGGCTGGGTTCTATCTTCATTTAGGGGGTTGAGGGGCTCGTGTAAGGTCTAGACTGGACAAGAACATTAGACTGCGAAATCGTCTAAAACCCTGGACCTTAGACCCTAAACCCCTAAACCCTAAACCCCTAGACCCTAAACCCCTTAGCCCTAAACCCCTAGACCTTAAACCCTAAACCCCTAACCCCTACACCCTAATCCTATCAAGCAATGGCTTGTGGGCCTTGGTGAGGCCGTTGGCAGATGCATCTGTTCGCTGGCGCTTTGCCGACTCTTGCCCACGGGATGACCAAGAGAAGCGTACAGCCGCGGCTACCAAGGGAGGTTCACCACCCACCTTCGGTTTAGGGTCCAGGGTAGGGCTGAGAGTTTCTCAAGCAGGGGTCCTAGGGATGACAGGGATAGGGGTCCTGATTCGGGAATTCTTTGGGGATTGTTTTTACAGACTTCCTCCCACCTTCCAGGCTTTGGGGCTCAGAGCAAAAAATCACATGGTAGTGAGAATAACAGGACTGCAAGAGTTCCTAACGGTCTACAGCTTGCGTCAGGGGTCGCCATCTGCGGAGGGGGAAAACACCAAATTCCTGGACCTTGGAGGAATAGATAAATGAATATATATATATATAATCCCTACATAACCCCTATATAATCTCTATGTAATCCCTAAATAATCACTATAGAATCCCTACATTATACATCCCTTTACTCCTTACTAACCCCCAGTAAGTACAGCTCTGAACTCTGAAGCTCACAGAAAAAGTGGAGGCCTTGCGAGCTTCCTCCAACAGCGCTACGCACCCGGCCCGCGGCCGATCTGCCATGACATGCGACCTTGCCAGGGCGCGCATTCTGGCCGAGGATAGGCCGGAATTCCGCACACCCTTCCTGAGCAGGCCCAATAGTCCAAGACGTTTAAACTAAAGGCATATACCTTATGACGTGGATCCAAGAAATAATAGACAATTAGAGTGCTTGGGCTTTCTGAGTGGTGCTGGAGGCTCTAAACCACCTGCTCTTACGGTTGTCCCGGTTTTTGTAGGGTGCAGACAGGAAGAATAACATCGGGATTGCACAGGGATGATGCAGAGATTACATTACAATAAGACCTAAGGAAAGTCTTTCAAGATCAGCCGCAGCTTCACTGTGAGCAATGCCCCAAGGTGGCTGTCTTCTAACACAGCACCTGAGCTGCAGAATTCGAAGCATTTCTCTTCGAGATTCGGTAATCCCCAGAAACGTATGTTCCTAAGCCCTAAATGGACCAAACAAGTGCGAAAACCCCAAATCCCAAACCCGTATGACATAGTAGTTTCCATTTTCTTTTCTACTATCCCTATATAGCCCTTTAAAACCAACAATATATATATATATATACACATACATACGCACGTACATGCATAAGTACATACATACCTACATACATAGGTACATACATACGTACATACGTAGGTACATACATGCATGCATACAGACATACAGACATGCAGACGGACAAACAGACAGACATACATAGTAAACTGCCATCCAGGTCCAGGTGCAGTGCGTCATTGCCTCGGCAGCATCACTGTCTGGTCCCACCACCTCCAAATTGTCCACGTTGCCGTCCGACTGGCCCACTTGGCCAAAGATCATGCAGAAGGCGCCCCCTGAGCGACGTGACATAGGTTTGGGGTTGATAAGGGTTGCGATATACATATACATAGTCTCCTAGGGGTGTGTAATAATAAAGAGGGTATAGGGTAAGTTATATAGAGGGGTTCCAATATTAGGGTACCTTTTTGGGGGGGTCCCTATAATAAGGGTTCTAATCTTTTGGGGTCTATATTGAGGTCCCCTATTTAGGGAAGCTCCCATCTACATATTATGCATATATGTAGATAGAGATGCGTAGGTACCGCATGTGCTTGTGCATGTGTATATATATATATGTATGCAGTATATATATATATATGCGCATAGACATCCCTACACCCTAAAGCCTAAAGAGACAACAGGAATCAAAACCCACCGCAGCCCCACAACCTCTTAACCCTGAACCGCGCCACCTGTTGCAGCCATGGTGAGCCTACCGCCAAGCAGCAGCGCCACTGCCAAGGCAAGACCCTTTTCAGGTGCAATCTCCTGCCTGAAGGCTTGAAGGGTTTAGGGTTTAAGGTTTTTTTTCTGTTTTTAAAGGGCCGATTTTACCTGCAGAGGGTTTAAGGTTTAGGGCTTAGGGTTTTAGGTTTAGGGTTTAAAGTTTGGGGCTTAGGGAAGGTGAGAAAGATATTTAGGGATGAACCTTAAAATGGATCTTTGTAGGTCTTATTTGTGGGTACTTGGGCTCTGGACTTCAGAAGTCTAGGAAGGTTTGAAGATTTATAGTCCCCCTTAAGTAGATAAGATATGGGGTATATGGGGATCTTACTATAATATACCCAAAGCTATATTCTATCTAGTTAAGGGGGACTGTAAGAGTTCAGGATTTATGCTCTTGCTTTAATTTAAGGCTTAGATTCATTCGGGGTTTGGGGTTTAACAGGTTTGGGAGGAAGGTTTAGAGGTTCTGGATTCAACGTTTAGGTTAGGGTCTTATGGTTTGGGGATTCAGGGCTTGGCAATCTTCAGGGTTTGAGGTCTGGGGGTTGGGCTTCGGGTTTAGGACTCGGGCAGGCGTAGGTGGAAAGATGCATTGACTTCATGAAGGCTTTGTGGGGATTTCGGGGAGACTGAGCCAAGATTGGACGCCAGACAAGGCAAGTAGGTTGAGATTTCAGTGCACTCGGCATTCTCATCATTACAAATATCTTCAGCCAGAGTTGGCTGAAGAACTGCCTGCACTTTCTTTTCCATCATACCTATGGAACCCCACAATATCCCTATATGACGCCTATATCATCCCTATGTAATATAGTAGTTTGCATTTTCTTTTCCATTATCCCTCAAGCCCTCCCAAATCTCCTCAGCTGTGCGATAGATTCGGCCAGGACGCCCTGGAGCAACGGGGCTGGATAGAGTGGGGAAATTGCGTATATTACGGGTTGACTTTTCTCAAGAAGGGAGCCACTTTCGTATTATGTGACTCCAAATGCTGGTGAGCTAGTCATCCTTCCAGAACTTTCGCCAAAAATACCGAATATAGTAATTGGGGAACTCCTGCTCACACCATTCGGGGGATTTTGAGCTCCTAAGCCCTAAACCAATCCAAACTTAACCCTAAATACAAAGTCCTGCAGCCGATCGTTCTGCCACCGGCCGCGATAGGACGCAAGACGAGGTAGAAGATGCATGTGAAGCCCTGCTGCGGTCAGGGAACTTAGCTTGGGAGAATGAAAAACAACATGGAAACTACTAGGGTGTACAGTTAGCACGCAAGGACAGCCCGTGATATACGGGAAGCGTAGCCTTGAATTCCTCAACAGCAACCCAGCTTGAAGGGCATCGGGGTACAATGATGGCTGGGGTGGGTACCGCTTCGACACTGAGGAAGAGTACCCTTGGGACCTCTGCATTCAGGGATCAGATTAGCCCAGACGTTTGGGACAAATGTAAGTACTATTTGTATGCTTGGATCCCAAAGTATCCTAGAGTAAGTACTGTTCTAGATAACTCCTTGGCTCCGTAACATACCTACGTAGATCCATACCATGGACATTTCTACGTTGTTGGGGTAGACAGGGGGAACCCATGTTTCGAGCAAGAACCTTCTGATATTATCAGCGAGCTCACTAGAACCCTCAATGTACACCCCTGATTCATAAACTCCCTCCCCTGACTGGGGATTCTAGTAGGGATCCTAATATTAAGGACCTTAAAGGGAAGGGGTTTATTAATCACGAATCTACATTGCAGCGTACTCCAAGCCTAAATCCGGAAGCCTAAATGCCCTAAACTCCAAAACCCCAAAGCATGAATCCCACATTGGGCTATTGGGATCCACAGGGTTGTGCTTGAGAGACAACAGGATGTCACCTGGTTGCAACTTGGGATTCCGTACGGTAAGGAACGCAGTTCAGGATTTAGTGCCTAGGGGTGTGTTCAAGGTTTCAGGTTTAATGTTTAGGGCTTACAATTTAGGGCTATGGGAACGCCAGAAACGAGGTATGTACAGTTCTTGAAGTACTACAGGGCCATGAATAGTTACCAATATAGTCTTGAGGTATATAATCCATTTGAGCTTTAGTCTAAACTCCTAATATCCCCCATAATAAACCCTAGCATAATCCCCTAGACAACCCCCTTTAAGGAGTTTAGGCTCTCATTTGAGGGGAACGGTTGAGGCAGGCAGCTCCTAGGGATTCCAAAGTCCCCATAAGCAAAGATTGCTATAGAACCAGGACCCTCCTTGTGCCCTTAAATAAGGGTGCGTGGTCCCTAACTGTGGGTATTTAGGGTATATATATATATATTTATATTCATATATGTATATATGATTTATTTATAGAGGGTGGGTGGAGGGTCTTGGAAGCATGCAAGAGAGCTTCGAGCGTAAACTCCGCACCCTTTGACAAGTCTATATCCCTGTCTGTTACCCCACCCAGACCCGCCGCTGGGATCCAATAGTCCCTAGAATAACATGGAGCATCGTGTAGCATTCTATACGCGTCATTCTGGGTTCAAAAAGGCATTGTACAAAAGCATTCCCCAGCGACCCAAATATACGAAAATTACTCACATTGGGCCCAAAAGTCTGTAAATTCTACATGCAATGGGCCGTTTGGATCCCTAGGGATTAGGTTCCTTTTGCAGCAGCTTCGGCATGTTCTCCACGCCCCGAGGAAGCATCGTAGACTGCAAACATCGCCGCCGGGCTGTCATGGTGGGAAAAGTCCAGCTTCCTGCAAGCTAGGGTTTCTAGGTTTAGGTTTAGGGTTAGGGCTTTAGGGTTTTAAGGTCATAGGGTTTAGGGTTTTAGGGTTAGGCCTTCTGCTGGGAAAGGCAAGGTTCCTTCCTAGACCCCCCATCCACCCACCCTCTATATATCCTTTTTACCCACTCATTTAAGGGACCACATACCCCTAATTAAGGGTACAAGGAGGGTCCTGGTTAGCAGCAATCTCAGCTTACCAGGGTTCTACAGAACTCTTTGCGGGCATGCTAGAGGTGCATCAGGGGTAGAGGCTTAGAGAGATTTGCCACTACCACTACAAGTTTGCGACTAGTACTGCTTTCATGGTTATACCTAGCTTCAGACTGCTTGTACGATTACACGAATTCTCGTTGCTACTTCCCTCACCGTGCTCTCTACTGCAGCTGCTGCTGCTGCTGCTGCTGCTGCCACCACAACCGCCACCACAACCGCCACCACCTCCACCAACACGACTACTGCCACTAACACCACCACGACCAATACAACTCTAGTCACCAGTGGGTTCAAGCTTGCTCAGATTCCTGCTCAGCAGATAGGAGAAAGTTATGTAGGGATCCGGATTGCAGCTGGAACCGACAAGGACGCGAATTTTCCCGAGATGAGGAAACTACTCAAAGCCAAGCCACATAGACGCAGCAGCACGATGGAGATCATTGATGATGACATTACGGCTTGCCTGCGGTGGGAACTTGCATGCATAACAGCGGGCAAAAGGAGCTGGGGTCTGATAAGATTCTGATGCTTATGTCGGGCAGTTCCAATCGAATCGCCTTTGGTCATGCCTAAACCCTAAGCCCTACTGCAAGAATTCTCAGCTTGGCAAACTTCGCATAGATGCCGGATCAAGTTTTCGATCCTTAGCTCGCCATGGGCACTCTGTACTCCACTGAAGAAGTTAATTCTGACGATCTTATAACTCCAGCAATGGGCCAATAAGAAGTGAATACAAGATACATCATGACACATAGTCTCCAAGAAGGAATGACAAGCTGGAGAAATCTCCAAGTGAGGATGTGGAGAAAGAATCGCGCCTGACCCTTTGCGGAGACCGTGGCAGCGTCGCCACGCACAGTCAGGATCGTGCCGTAATCCTCACCTGCTGCAAGATCATGCTCTTGTGGGGTACTACGCTGCCAGATGTGGCAGAGCTTCCAAGCCCTAAGCGCAAGACCTGTACCCCCTAGGTTATAGGAGGCTGCAACTGCAGCTGCACCAACCATTCATGAAAGAACATCTGTGATCAAATCATCTATCTGGGAACCAAAACATTATTCTCAAGATCCCTCATTTATGAAAGCCCGCATTTAGGACTGGGAGCCCTCGTGGGAGCTTAGAATGGAAGCCATTCCATCAACATGTGTACTGTTATACTGGGTTATATAGGGATATTTCCCCAATAATGGCAATTCTCCATGCCCTATCAGTCTACCCTTCCGTGAACTACCATCCACTACAAACCAAAGCCTATAGAGATGCAACCCGTATGTACCTCTATAACCAATTCATATACATATACATACACATATACATATACACAAACACATATACATACATAATATTCATAAGTATCCTTTCATGTCCCCTATGTGATATGGTAGTTTCCCCAAATTTAAGGTACCGCAATATAGACCCAAAATACTATAATCCTTATTATGGGGACCTCCAAAATGGTACCCCTAATTTTAGGCAACCTCCATATATCCTTTCCACCCTAAACCCTAAACCTTGATACTTAAGGGGGACTATACACCTTGATATCCGGGACCTTGGTGGAGCTCGTAGAGCTCACCGTCGGCATCGCGGCAGTACAGGAGACCACTTTCCTTGGAAGGGTTCAGGGTTAGATACCTTTCAAGGGGTTTATCGGGGTTATGTAGGGATAATGGAAAAGAAAATGGAAACTACTATTTGGGGTTTAGGGTTCATAACGTTGAGGGTTGAGGGCTTAGGGCTTTGGGCTGGGGATACATGTTGGGTAGGACGTTCTACCCAAGTTCCTTAACATGGCTTTGAGTTAATTACAGCTGCAGCTCTATGACTAGGCTATGGCTCCGCGATCAACAGCCCACCCTGAGGAATCCTATAACTGCTATCCGGCCATACTTGGACCATAAACCCTAAATAGTAGTTTCCATGTTCTTTTCCATTATCCCTGTATAATATAACCCCTAGAAGCCCCTTTAAAGGTATATGACTGCTATCGAGTCAT